CAAGTTGAGCTAAATGTTATGGTAATAAATTTTTTTTTTTTTTTATTAAAACTTTCACTTTAATGGACAATAAAAAGTAGGTTCAAAATTATTACTTTTAACATTTCAAAAATCAAAATCAATAATAATTTGAAAACAATTAATTTTTAAAATTATATAATATATAATTAAAATAATTACTAAATTAGGTATAATTAAGGAAATAGAAGTTAATGTTGCTTTTGTAATTATCCATTAATTTTTTAAAATTAAACACTATCTACAGATTTGCATCGAAGCGTTTCTTATGATAGTGATTTTAATCACTGTCAGATTAAATCTATACTGGACCTAACTGTGCCGCGACCTCACTGTGCTGGGTTTTTTATTTGTTTATATGGACAAATGTCCAATTTATTATACATTATTAAACAACAAAAGCAAATAAATAGGTAAGGGTATGCAATAAATCATTTAATTAACTATTGACTTAATTTTTGAATATTTATGTTACAACAAAAAGCTTTTATTTGTAAATATTTGATACTTCATTTACAAAAATGAACTATAATACCTCATATCTAATAATATTGATATACAGGGTGTTCAATAAGTCAGGAAACGGGTATCTATTGTTCTCATTGTTACAAACAATGAGAACAATAGAAACCCGTTTCCTGACTTACTGAACACCCTGTATATATTGTAACACGGCCGCCGGGGATTGACGGCCGGTTATAGAAAGTGTACCGGAAATCATGTGAAAAAAAGAGGCACGGTACGGGATTAGAACCCGCGACCCAAGGCGTCGTATAGACAAACCTTACCACTAGGCCACCGTGCACTTACGATTCAGATCCCGATACACTTTCATTTAGGTTGATAAAGTGATGTGCGGCTGAGGGAAACACGGTACCGTGTCAATAGTTATATTTTATTAAACATTGCGTTGTAAATTTATTAATTATTTTTTAGTTTATCAATTAATCCACCTTTAATAAGCTTTGCTTCTCTCGTACATTAAAAATCAAATGTGCATTTTGTTTTATTTTCTATGATATTAATATTCACGTTGCTCGGAAAATGTAGAAACTATTTACTTTTTCTGATGCGTTGCTTCTTAGATAGCTATACCTAAGTGCCTATTAACAATAGCTACGAGCTAAAGAGGTTTACGAAGGATAATTGGCTAGGCTAATTCTATCATAGGTACTGAGGTTTCCAACTTACTTTTTAGAGAAACTACCAAAGGTCACACTACAATATCGTATAACACTTGATTAAGTAACAATACAGTTGTTTATTTAAAATAAGCAATAAATAATACTAATTATAATATGACACAACCCAACCTCTAGTAATAGATATCAGAGAGGACATTAAACATCATTAAAAAATTAAAAAAAAAATAATATAACAGTTTTGTATTTTTTTAGGTTTTTCCTCATTATTAATTTAATCAAAATTTTACTTTAATACACAAAGTTAATTTTAGCTTCGATGCGAAGCTGAGAAGGTATTAATTTTACTAAGGTGTGTTAATTTTTTTTTTTTTTTGTGTCTGTTACCACTTTTTCTCAGCTCTCACCGAACCGATTTCTTTCAATGATACGTCAAAAGATCACAAGTTGTATCTAGTCGAAGACATTACCCTCAAAAATTGAAAAAAATGCCCTCGTTCCCCGTAAATGGGGGAAACCTCCAAAAAAATTACAAATTTAAAAATCGTTAATTTTCGAAATTTTTTCAATTTTTTTTACTTAAAAGTGCCATAACTTTTTCAAAAAT